CTCCTATCTCCTCAATTTTTGAAAATTTTAAAATTTGTTCTAATACAATCAAATATGATAAAATTGTATTGTAAAGATGTATTTTTCAAAATGTATTCATATGTATAAGAAAAACATTTTTAAAAAAGCAAATATAGCAATAGCCATGCAGCGGATACGGATAGGGCGCGCGAATAGCGATATAAAGGTATATATATATATCGCAATAATTTTGTTATACATGATTATATTTGTCGTTAAATATATTATAAGTTTTGCTACAGGATGAATTTTTTAATTTTCAAAAATTCAGAGGGTAGGAGGATTTAGAAAAGAAAGATATTTTCAAAAAATCTGAGTAAACTGTTATAAAGTACTTTAAAAACTATAAAACTTTTATTTATATCTTTTACCGCTTCGAAAGTATTAGCTCAGAAATATAAGGTATATACAAAAATATGTGCGTCTTCTTTTGATCTAAATTACATACTCAAAACTTGTCAAAATGGGTGTAACACTTGGATAGGAGAAAGCAAATCTAAAAGAGATATGTAGAGGAAACCGGGGTAAGTCGTTACAGTTAGTTTTTTAATTGCCACAGGTGACAGTACATTTATGAATTTTTATATGTGGTTCTTATGATATTCTACAATTAGTTTAGCCGCCATATTTGAATTTTAGAAGATACTATGTATGTTTTCTTGATTTTTTACTATTAAAAGTTTTACTATTAAAATGTACAAATTTCATTGTACATGGTCTGTCCAAAAAGTATCGGGACTACACTCACAAAAAAAAATTTATTGCACATATATGTACAATGAGTTAAAAATCTTCAAAATAACTCCTTCTAAATCAATACATCGTTGCCAGCGCTTCTGACATACTTGATGTGCTCCCTGGAAGTCTGCAACCGGAATCTCCTTCAGGCACTACGTCGAAGCCGCTTGCGCTCTTTCCATCGTCCAATAATGGTGTCCTTTTAGACTTTGTTTCATCCGAGAAAAGAGAAAGAAGTTTGGCCGAGTCAGGTCTGGACTATAGAGAGGCTGAAGTAACGTTACGGTGTGCTTCGCCAGAAACTCCCTTATGCGTAGCGTCATATGATTAGGCGCATTGTCGTTATGAAGAATCCAAGTATCGGCGACTTCCCTATGAACGGATGGCAAGAGTCTCAGCATCGAATTTTTTTCAATTTCATGCAAAACTTGATTGCATATCGCTGTTCAATCGTGCGTTGCATCTTGATTGCTGACGAAACTACAAAATAATTGCTCACACTAGAAGCGATCCACACTCTGCAAAGACTCAGAAGTGAGCTGGTCGTATCGTATACCTGAAATCTCCAACATCCCTGCCCATGGAGACCATTCTGCAGCCCTTCCCTTTGGCTAGAAAAAAATCAGTCCTGATACTTTTTGAACAGACTATGTATTATATAAATCGCTTGTGTTATTGTATACATATATGTATAAGTTAGAGGTATGTGATTATCTTTTGTTAGAGGTATGTGATTATATATTTTTTATATATTTCTTTTATATACATTCGATTATAATAACATATTTTATTTGAATCGATATATGTACTGGTTTTCGATCCGTATTTTTTCGAATTGAAAATGGAAGGTTGGGACAAATTGTTACACTTCGATCGGGGCAAATTGTTACAGTGTAACAACTTACCCCATTGAAAACAATTTTTTTTTCTTACAGAATGATGCACAGATTTCTATAAATAGATTACCTACTTCGTCTCCATATTTGAAGACAATGCTGAGTAGCGCCATATTTGTGTTCACTCCATTCTCACATATATAAATCACACGGATAATAACATTAGTGTTTTCACATAAATTTATGCGAATATTCAGAATAGACAGATGCATACATATGCGTACGTGAACTGAAATAAGGCCAGCTCGAAATCAGGTTCATCTCTTTCTATTGAATCAGCAATCTAGTTATAAAAGTCTGTGGAATAGTGTGATCTTATAAAAAAAAATACAAACAAAGGATCTATAAATGTAGAAAAATATGCGACAGCGGCAAAGAAAGTTAAAGATGGTCACCTATCTGTGAGAAAAGCAGCGTTTAAGAGACATAGATACAAATTTAAAAAAAATTAACTATCTAGTTAAAGATGTACTTGAAGCAATGCACATTCATTAATTTAAATGTAATACGTTAGTATGAAAAAAAATTGCTAATCAAAAATTGTAACAACTTGCCCCGATCTCCTCTATCCGGTAATCGTTTAATATCACTCTGTTTGTTTAGTCAATCCTGTTATCTTTTAATATGTATCATTTCCCGATTTCCGATGCCGATCTTCTCAGATACAAAGGTTCATTGTCTAAAATTTGAATATTCTTCCAATCGAATTCATAATCATTCAGAATAAAATATTCTTTTTTAAATATCAATCTTATATTTTCCAATAAATCGAGATTATCGTATTAACATTTCTGTTAAGCTAATTGCACGTATCTAGCTTAAGTTAAATCGAACAGTTTATTTTTCAAATTTTAATGAAGTTTTCGATTAATATTTGTATATTGCATTTTTCTGCTTTCAGAGTCATATTTACTACCTCCAAAAACGATGCTGCATCTTAATATCTATGGAGTCCATAGAGATCCCAATTTTTGGTCAAATCCAGAGATATTTGATCCAAATAGATTTTTACCTGAAAAGATTCGAAATCGTCATCCTTACTCATATTTACCATTCAGTGCTGGACCACGTAACTGCATTGGTAAATTGTTTAATGATATTCTTTTATACATAAACAATATATATCAATATATATCAAATTGTAGGTCAACGATTTGCTTTGCTGGAGATGAAGGCAATGATAGCCTCTCTGATTCATAATTTCTACTTGGAGCCTATTGATTATTTAAAAAATGTACGATTAGGAGCTGATTTAGTAATCCGACCTATTGATCCGCATCGCGTAAAATTTATTCCAGTTAAAACCTAAACATTAAAAAATAATATTTTAAGAATTTAATAATGTATTGCAAAAATAAAGAAAATTATCATATGTTTATAAACATATGCGAATAATAAGAAAGGTCTCTATAAATATTAAACTTAAATAGCAATACATAGATTATAATATAAGTTAAGCCTGTCTTAATTTATTATAAGATCTTTTAATATTATATTATATTTTGACCTGACCTTGATGACGCCACCCAAGTCAAACTTATAAGATCAGTAAGATCTTTTTGATCAGTAGATCTTTTTGAATCCTACAACTTTTGTCTGAACAATTTTTTTCAATAATGCCGCAATAAAATTTTACAAATATAAATATATTTATAAATATATTTTAAGCTTTACAAATTTTTATTGCGGATTATAACAAAAATAAAATATGTGGTTAAGTAATTAATATTTATAAACGTTATATTTAATGTGTATATTATGTGAACAATAACTAAGTTAATTTTTTATAAAAGGCATTGTAAAAGAAAATGAACAGTATATATTTTTTAAAGTTTACAATGAAAATATTATATACAGATTTATTGCAGTTTTTTATGTAATATTTAAATATTATGTTGTTGCTTATCATTATATTACGATGCGGTCTATTTAATGTTTCTTTCAGAACGATAACCTTCCTTTATCAATATTTGCTCTTATAAACACAAAAATATAACAGATGAGTAGTATGATGAGAAATGTTGCTACATTAAGTAAGACGTAGGAAGATTTATACTTTAATTAAATGATTAATTACATTTGCGCAATGCGTAAAAAATATATGTGATGTCAACATTTATGTAATAAAAAACTATTACCATATTTATAAAGTTAAAAATATAAAATTTAAAAAATATTACATAAAATTACTTAGTTAATTTATTGTTAATAAAAAAATATTTTTCATAGTACAACTGTTTCAGGTTGTAAGTATTGTTGAACAAGAAGAAAATCAATTAAAAAATTTTCTATTAAATTCTATGACTTTACTTGATATATTTTTTATTAGAATGAATAAATACATTATGACGGGGAAAGGGAGGTGGAGGGGGAGAGGATATTTATATTCGATGCTATTCGATGATTAGATTATCATTGCGTTTGATTTTCGCATTAAAAAAGATTCTAATCCAGAATCGAAAAATGTTTGTAGATATCTATCTTGGTAAGTACATTCGAATTGATTGCAAGTTATATCTTATCATATTATAAATCAGGATTGGCGACATTACCTCATAAAACTAACTCGTTACCATTACCGTTCTTTTTCCCAAAAAGTAACTCGTTATTGTTACTCGTTATTGATTTGCAAAAGTAATTCGTTATCGTCACTCAAAATGTAACGAGTCGTTACTTTTTTTCTTGATACTAATAGAATATTATATAGCGTTTTTCATTGGCAGAACTTGTGCACACTCAATGCACATTAAAGCCGTGCGCACACAACTCTAATCTAAATGTAAAAATGAGATATAACTGAGAGGATAAAATGCTTAAAGTATATTTTATCAAATAACATAATAAAATATATTGAGGATTTCGCAGTTTAATTCGTTTCTATATTTTTATTAACCATACATCTTTATGTCGATTGTACAGCGGCTTTAAAGTGCACTGAATGCGTACTAGTTCTGCTAATGAAGAACGCTATTATGTATATGCAGATTCTTGCGGTAATTGTAAAAAAGATGGAAGAATTTTTTTTTTAGAGAAAAAAACTAAAAGATTGATAAATAATGTATATGTACATAGCTCTAATTATAATTAAAACTTTTATATAAATAAAAATAAAGTAACGGTAAAAGTAATTAATGAAATCGTTACCATTATCTATATACCATCTCAAAAATTTAATTGCGTTATCATGCATGTTATTCAGAAAAAAATGTAACGTCATTACTCAAATGTTAAAAAAAGTAACTTGCGGTTACAAGTAATGCGTTACGTGCCAATCCTGATATAAATATATTATTAATTTAGATAAAATTAATATATACTCTTCAATATTATAATAAAGTAACGAACAAATGTATGATAAAAGTGTAATGATAAAATAATCTTCATTGGCTGATATATTCGTATCAGCGACGACATAAGTCATTTACATCAGCGCAATTGTAGAGCGAACATCACATTACGTTACATTGTCCGATAAAAAACAGTTTTTGGATTATAATTACATACTAGGTATTAATAATTTAATTGTTTGTTGCGTTTGATTGTTTATATTGGATTGACTATTGAATAAGAATAAATAATGTACCAGTTTTGGTGAGTAACCATTAGATTCTGTTCTCTAAATATATATCGGCCGCTTATTTTAACATTATGTTTCGTTTCTTAGTTTTACTTTACGAAGGTTTCGTGAAATCCTTTCCTCTGGTCAATAAACTAGGAACACTACTAAAATCTTTTGAATAAGATAAATTCTTTTTTCTTCATCTTTTTGATAAGATGGTTGACAATGTGACTGTTGCATCCCTAGAGTACATATATTCGAATACAATGCCATTATATTGATTAGAAGTAAGTCGAAACGTATCCGGATATATTGTCACGAGTAAAAAATTATTATTATAAATAATGAACTAAAAGATCTTATCATTACATTTGCGCATTTATTCTGGTTCATAAATCGAAATTAAATCAATATCGATTGATTTTTTGGACCGTTTGATTTAATATCGACTGTATTTTCTATTGATCTTCAAAAGAGATTGACGTTTTATCAACGCTGCATCGAGATGATCGATGTTTTATCAATGTTACATCGATAAAATGTCGATTTTCTTTCGAAGATTAATAAAAAATTTAATAGAAATCAAATCAAACGAAAAATTGGTCCTAGAAATCAATCGACTGTAAATCGGTTTGTGAACGCGGGATAGTACCGCGCTGACTCCTACTTCCTCATATATAATATTTGTTCATTATTAATATATTAACAATCGCGGAGGCTCACGACACACACACACACACACACACACACACACACACACACAACACATGTATACTGAAAAAAATTTTGCAATCTTACTCGCACAGCAAATGTATCCAAAATACATCTTAAAGGTATCTTAAAGATGTATTTGAGATATGTGATATCTTCAGGATGTCTGTCTGATGTATTTCGGAAATTTCTGCTGCATGGGTAATAAATATTTTTTTGAATATCTGTAAGTAAACATTTACTTATAATAAATAAATATTTACTCAATGAAAAAAAAAGATAATTAAATCAAATTAACGGTTTTTGTATTAAATAAATATATGTTAATATTCAATAAATATTTATACTTATAAATATTCAAAGAAATATTTATTCAGATATAGTAAATTTTTTTCAGTAGGCAATTTATTTGACTGGTCAAAAAATAGTTGCGTTCAAAAGTTCATTTTTAATGGTAAATTCACTATATATCTTAATAATTTATTGTTCAAGCTTGTTTTAGAAAAAAACGCACATGATTTCGTTAAGAATTGTTTATTCGACGTTGATTTTAATACAGAAAAGAAAAAAAAACATTTTCGTCATATTTTTACCTCCAAAACTCTATTCTTATCTCCTTCCAAAAAGGAGAAAACGTTGCGAAAGCTCTTAAAAAGTTATGTGTATGGTGAAGATGTCTTAAAACTACAATAATGTCAGAATTGATTCGCAAAAGGTCTGGAAATTTTGATGTTAAAGATGCACTACGCTCAGTCGAAGTTGATGACAAAATAGAGACATTGATCGACTTCAATCGCTGTTTAACGAGAGATTGCTGAGAATCTTAATATGCCTACCTAAATCAAGCCGTTGAGAACCATTTAAAATAATTTGAATATAAATAAAGTTAGTAAGTACTTTACAAGAGATGTATTGTCAACTATTAGAAAAAAACGCAATTATTTTTTGGCCAATCCAATATATAAGTATACATTTGCCTAAGAAAAAGCAGTATATAAATAAGAAAATTTAAAAAATTCCAATACAGTAAATAATTATGATACATACTAAGATGCTTCAAAAATGAAGCTTGAAATCTATTTGAGAAATTTTTAATGCTGACTGAGTGGGATAATTAATTTTTCAGTGGCGGATGATAGAGCAAGAATCTGCAAAAAATTGATAAATAGAAAGTCCAGTTTTTGAAGTTGCATTGAATAAAGCAATTGACATTACTCAATATATGATAAAAAGCATGTTAAGAGGATTCTAAAGCCGTCTGTATTATCGATTAAATAAATCATATAATTTATGTATAACACATATTCTTTTTCTCTTTCACAGATTCGAAAATCCTTTTTCAGGATTGGAAATATACGCATTATTACATGTTTGTGAAATGAAATTTATGCCGAAAACGATCAAAAAATTGATATATTTTTTATCATTTCTTAATTAATTAGTATTTATCATATGGTATCTCAAGCTATCAAGTCGTGATAATATTTAAGTCGTGATAAAAATTTTTGCAATCTGTACTTACGAAATAACAATCCACGAATACGTAGTTTATATGAATAAATAATTGAGTTCTTAGACTTAGATTTATGGCGAATTTGATACATACGCACTGACTCCGTTCTAGTACTGCCCTGATATGATGCGAGTGTAGAATTACTTTAGTGCTATGACAAATTTCACTGTGAAAAACGTCAGTACATTTTTTGAACTCGTTCAATTTATTCAGTTGGTCTGAATATAAATTCAGCACTATACTGAGTTAGTTTTCATTTGCTGAATATGATAATCTTAACGCATTGAGACAAGCCGAATGCGTGACACTGAAAAAGTTCTCAGTACACACTAGTGCGGTCTGCCGAATTCGCTATTAGACGCTTTATCTCGAAGAATTTGTTATACGAAAATTGACACGAATGTGACTACGTATATCATAGATTGTATGGGATATTAATGTGATAGCATAAAGACAATATACTGGAAAAACAATGATTTCTAGCTTCGTCGAAGTTTGAGCTTCAATTTAGGATCCTCTTAAGTATCCGAAAAGATATAAAATTTCTTCTTCAAAATGCTTTATTCTAAAATTTAAAATGATAATTTTTTGCTGAATTATCAGAAAAAAAAAGATTTTTTTATGCTTTTTAAAAATTGATAAATTGATTTGTAATATCATTGTCATTAGAGAGTCTAATGCGTATTTCGAAATAAGATGAAAATTACAAAGTAATCAAATTCATTAAATGTTCACCAATAAAATTATAAATATTTTAGCCATTTTTTTCACTTTTTCACATTTTTTTTGTGTTTCAAGATATACAATATCGACTACCAATTTAAATCGCTACCATTTTGTTCAAACCATATCGTATTAATTGTTTGAAATTATATCCGTATGTGTATAGTGTGTGTACACGCGCGCGCGTATGCATCTTTTTATTATAAAAAAGAAACAATGAAATTTCTCAATATGTATACATTGCGGGCAAAGTCTATAAGTGGGACAGTGTCGACATTGTCCGGGACGGGTTAACATTGCCCAACGCGATTGGGTTGGGCAATGTTAACACGGTCCGGGCAATGCTAATATTATACAGCATCAGGCAACTCGAGCAATGTTAACACTATCCACTATGTGGACTTTGCCTGTAACATAACAAATCCACTCGGGCTTTCCACAGTTGTACATGTATATAATGTGTATTCAGATAGGCTAGAGCTTGTTAAAATTGCCAGTTCCAATTGGATTTAAGTAGCTATCGCCTCTCTCTTATCTTTCACACGTACACAGATGTAATTTTAAATAAACAACTCGATATGTTTTGGACAAAATCACAGTAGTTTAAACTGATGATGGCAGCATTACAAATTACAATTTATCATTATTTATACATTTTTATTATTTATATATTATCATTATTTTATACATCTATTTTTTGTATCAATCAATATTTTGTGTACAATCTATTTATGTATACAATCTATTTTTCACAGATTGAGGAAAATAACTCAGTGAAAAATTATCATATCGAGTTTCACAATAGCACATTTTGAAGAGGAGACTTTGAACTTTCACGCGCTTTTTATTGAGCTATGTTGACTGTTTCCGTGCAATTCCGGAAACTGAACTTTCTATTTATCAATTTTGTAGATTCTCATTCTATCGTCCGCTATCAAAAAATTAATTATCCCATTCAATCAGCATTAAAAATTTCTCAAAATATAGACTTCAAACTTCATTTTCATTTTTTAAGCATCTTTGTATCATAATTATTTATTGTGTTATAAGTATTTAAACTTTCCTAAATTTTTTCTAATTTTCTGTTATAGATATCCCCCTTTTTTTTAACAGAATGCATTTGATTTTTTCTTAGAGTCACAACACCATTTTTATTTTAATTTGAATGCATTATATTCTGTTATATATTTAAAAAATTGTATATCTGTTTAAAATTTTTTTATTGATAAAACACTTTATTTCTACAATTAATATCTTTTATTTGTTACAAACATTTAGGACACTGAAGTAACTTTGTAACAATTTGATTTGAAGCAAATATCACGTATTTTAATACGCGTGAATCAAACATTAAGCAGAAAGTTGAAGAAAATTGATTAGATTGTAATCAGATCAACAATGATTGTTATCGTATTGATACTATTTGTTATCATATTGTTATCATATTATTATTATGTGCATTACGGACGAAATGGACGCCTTATTAACCTTATACCAGGACCACCAGGTTATCCAATTATTGGTAATACACTGCTATTACAAGGTTCACGAGGTAAATTGAAACTTTTAACATTTCAATAAATTACCTAATTCTAAAATGTGCAATTATCAATATTATCGTATGTTTAATAATTACATAAAGTTATTAATATCTTTTTAAGTAATAACATTTGTTTTCTTAATTATACAGTTATTTGTTCAATATCTACATTTCAATAAAACGGTTTAAATTGTATGTACTACGTTCATAATTTGTATTTCTCCTAACTTTTTTAGATACATTAAGAAACAAATTGTGACAAGTAAGGAAATAAGTATCATTACACAGAAAAAATAAATTAATTACATGCAATATGTTAACATATTACGAATATTAATATTTATCATTAAATTTCTAAATTAGTAACGTTTTTAAATTTACAATATATATATACATATATATACATTTTTCAGAGAATCTCTGGAAACGTCTGATTACGATAACTGATAAATATTATCCGATTTGTAAAATTTGGACATTTTTTATACCTATTGTATCTATCCGTGATCCGGATGATATGGAGGTAATAAAATAAAAAAGTATTCATGAAAACCGATTACTTAAAAGTGATAAAATGTCTAAGATATTTTAAGTAATGTCTTCATTAAAATTAAGTTAAATAAAATATTTAATTCAGTATCTGTAATTTCAGGTAATATTAAATAATATGAAACATATTAATAAGAGTATAATTTATGATGTTTTACGCCCTTGGTTCAATACAGGTCTTCTCACTAGTGGAGGTAAAATAATGTGTGCGAGATTAAAAAATATAACATCTGTAATGTATATGTTATTATTATATTCTGCTCTAATTATAGAAAATTCCAATTACATAAACAATTAAAACTTTGCAACTAAGCCAAATATTATTTTAAATAACAATTTTTTTTTATTACAATTTATTCAGTAAATATATGTGTAGTGCAGATATATTCAGTAAAGAGAATATGCGTATACAGAAATACATTCTTACGAATAATTTTGTTATAGTTTTACATATAATCTCAAGTATACAAAAATAATGAAACTCATATATCACAGATCCTTTTTTTGTATAATGAATTTTATTTGTCATTAATAAAATTTTAATTATATGATGTCTATAATGTATAATACATAAATCTTTATTGAGCAAGTATTTTAAAAAGATAATAAAAATATTTAATAAATTTGTTTATTAAACAACTGAGAAATTTCAGAACGCGTGAAAGAAGAAAAAAACTTAAAATAATTGGTGCTAAGTCAAAATTAATTAATTAGAAATTATGTTGGCAAGCAACAGGTTTTATATAGTAGCATATATGTATATTCAAATTTTATATATAGATATATGTATAGTTTAACTATATAATTTTTTATTTTATTCTCTCTGTTTTAGGTACTAAATGGCAAACTCGTCGAAAGATATTAACTCCAGCATTTCATTTTAATATACTGCAGCATTTTATTGAGAGTTTGATCGAGGAGGGCGAAAATATGACAAAATCTTTGAAAAATACAGGAGGCACTGTTGTAAAAGATTTAATACCGTTTATTAGTGAACATACACTGAATGCAATATGCGGTATTGTGTCTCATTTTTATAACTATATTATTTAAGATTTTATTCCGGAAAAAAAGATAAAACACGAAATATTAATTAATAAATACAATATAATGCAATACATTAATATATAAATCAATATAATAATATCTATTTATTACAACATAAGATATTAAAATAATTGATTACATATAATATTTTAACAAATATATTTGCAAAATTTTAACAAATTGCATTTGTAGAAACTGCCATGGGCACTTCTCTACGAGACCAAAGCGCGTACCAACAACGATATCGAAAAGCAGTTCATCAAATAGGCGAAATTATCATATATAGGTAACTTACATGTAAATATAAACAGCTGCGATAGCTTGGTAAAATACTTCCAATTAGTTTCATACCAATTAAAATATTTTTTAGGTATAACTCAGAAATTGTAAATATATAAAGTAGCAACTTGAACATTAAAATTAAAAAATATATTAATAATTTAGATAAAAAAAACATTTGGTTTTTATCAATTACTTCAATTACTACGTAAACTAAAAGAACACTCACGTAATATTTTATTTTTAATTTTATTTTTTATGCGTAAAAACAAATGTGTTCAGCTAAACACAGATTATCATATTCAGTAATCTATGTCTCTGCGCAATCTTACGCAAGTATAGATGAGTCCACATGCATTTCAGTTACTGAGATATTATTTCAGTTGAGAACTTCAGTTGTGAGATATTTGCATGTCCCAACTTGCCCTTTGGCTCAACTATCCCTGTTTTATTCGTATATGATCTATCCAATCGTTTACAGCTTTTGAAATGTTGAACGTTTAGATAACATGACGTAAACAAAAGATGAATATAAATATTTATCCAATTGCATTTTTATCCAATTGTAACAAAATTGTCTTAAAAAGATGCAATATTTATATAAAGCATTCAATATATCCTATTAGCATAAATTTAATTATTATTAAATGTAAATTAATTAAAAATTTTTCAAGTAGTTATAATGCTATTAAAATTGATAATAAAATTAATAATAAAATTAAAGACAGCTTTCACAAAATATTAGGTGTTGGAATTAATTCGTAGCGTTTTACAAGAGATGGGAAGTACTTTCATTAATGTATTTTTTAATGCTCATGTGAAATAAATAACATTCTTTCATTAAAAAACGCTACGAATTAATTCCAACACCTAATACAATCATCAATAAATACATATCATCTCTTTAAAATAGCATATTTATTATTCAATAATTATGCTTTAGATTAATGAGGCAGTGGCTGCGATACAATTGGATCTTCTCATTGATGCCAAAAGGCAAAAAACAAGCAGAGACTTTGAGGATACTACACGGATTTACTGAACGAGTATATTAAAATTATTTTTTAATGTTTGCTTATATATAAACTCATATTACGTAAAATTATAAAAATTCCATAAATTTGAAATTATTATATAATGTTTTACGTTCTTAGTGTATTTATTGAAAAGATTGAGATGGCTCCTTTTATCTACAAATCGATGCTCTACAGCATCGTTTGCTTACATCACTTTTGCCGATAGTTCATTTGTACACAAAAATTATTGCCTATAGCTCGATTACCTACAAGCATTTTTGCACACAATCGTAAGCAATTATTATGTAGATAATAATATATGTAGATAATAATACATGTAAGCAAACGTGACTTCGTTTCTGAAATTTTTATTCGCAAAAGTGCAATCGAGCTGTAGGCAATAATTTTTGTGCACAAACAAACTGTCGGCAAAAGTGATGTAGGCAAACGATACTGTAGGCAATCGATTTGTAAGCAAATCCTAAGAGGATTCTTCAAAAAAGATTAATATGATGATTGTATAGATTATTGAGAAAAGAAAACTTTGTCAAGAATATACCGATGATCAATACTTAAAAGATTTTGATAGTAACACAATGACAGAGACAAGTGATGTAGAAACGATTAAAAGTACGTACAATTATTAGAATCTATTCTGTAATTTCGATTGGCATGTAATATAAATTATTTTTTTACATATTATTATAATGCAATTTAAATTTTAAACAAAATTAATATCACTTAATAAAAATATCATAGAATTATATTAGAGATTATTAACATTAACATTTTAATTTATACATTTTAGTTCGGAAAAAGCGGCTTGCATTGTTGGATATTTTAATAGCAGCGTCTCGAAAAGGTCTCTTAACTGATTCAGATATCAGAGAAGAAGTGGATACTTTTATGTTCGAGGTACTTTATGTATGTGGTATGGATAAAATATTCGTGTACTGAATTTTTTTCTGCTAACGTAGCAACACTGTAGGTTTCTGCAATGGTGTGGTACGTACGAAGTTTAATGAACATGTTTAATGAACATGTCAGTATAATTTTGTCACTAACGCATGCAGGTTTGTCAATAATTGTGAGAAAGTGTAATTTTTTGCATCGTTCGAATAAAGCTTGACATTTTGACAAAACAGGAAATCAAATTCCTTGTGAAATTCGAGAAGAATAAGCCAGAAATTCATGTTACAGACGGTCTGATCATAAATTTCTATCCAATTCTTTCCTAATTTCACAAGAAATTTTATTCTCTGTTTTTTCAAAACATCATGCTCTATTCTAACGGTGCAAAAAAATTATTCTCATAATTATTGACACAAAAACCTGCAAATATTAGTGATCAAAAAATTGTATTGAATGTTCATTAGACTTTCTATTACATGCCACGCCACTGTAGAAACTACAGTATTGCTACGTTGGCAGAAAAAATTCAATTCACGAAATTTTTGTTCATTGTATTTATAATCTTTTCTAAATTTTTCTATTCATTATTTACATATATAATGATATATATAATGTAATTATAGGGTCACGATACTGTAGCAAAAGGTATATGTTTTGCTCTTCTATTACTAGCTGAACATAAGGACATTCAGGTATTTTTCATTAAATGAGCATTATATGTAGATAGAATTTTTTTCAATTAACAAAATTAACAATATTAATACACAGAATCGTGTCAGAGATGAAATCAGGACTACTATAGAAAAAACTGGAGAGAAATTTACTATAAATGTATTGCAAAACTTGTCATATTTAGATAGATGTATAAAAGAAGCATTGCGTTTGTATCCCAGCGTTTATTTTATATCACGAATTACATCGGAAGACGTAAAATTTAGTATGTAATTAATATTTCGTATAAATAATTTTTAACATACTACAATATAAAACGAATATAGAAATGTAATAAAATTTAATATAAATATTTATAAAATACAATGATTATTATAATTATGGTAGGTAACATTACAATAGTATTTTTTGTTGAAACAGATTTAATTTCTTTTTATTTTAATAAGATATATGAAGTCTATTTAATATTTTCTAAATTAATAAAAATATACTTTACAGAGTCATATATAATACCTGCTAAAACAATTGTGCATCTTAATATCTATGGACTCCACAGGGATCCCAATTTTTGGCCAAATCCAGAGATATTTGATCCTGATAGATTTTTGTCTGAGAACATTCGAAATCGCCATCCTTACTCATATTTACCATTCAGTGCTGGACCACGTAACTGTATTGGTAAGTTACATCTATGATATTTTCATATAAACAATTTGAGATATATAATATTAAGATAACAAATTGCAGGTCAACGATTCGCTCTGCTGGAGATGAAAGCAATGATAGCCTCTCTGATTCATAATTTCTACTTGGAACCCATTGATTACTTAAAAGACTTGCAAATGGAAGTTGATTTAGTGCTGCATCCTGCTCATCCACTTCGTGTAAAATTTGTTCCCATCGTTAAAATGCATGCAACTATTTAACGCGAATGCATCCTTTAAGAAACGTGTAACAAAAATTGAAAAATTGTTAAGTATGTTATAACTTGTTTATATATACATACATATTCATTCATATGTATAATAAAGATAATTATATTATCACGTGCTATTTTGAATTTGATATTTATCAAAGTAATTTGTATTACTTCATTTATATTTTCAAAAAAGACTTTTGTGATACTCACAGCTGATAACAAAACGTTACAAATTCATAAAAAATTAATCTGCAAAATAAGAGGAATTTATGTACTATTTATACATTTTTACATCATTTATTTATATTTTATTTCTTTATGTAGTGCTTGTTATTTTAATATTTATCTTTCTATAATATTATTTACAAAAAAACTCATATATCTCAGATGAGAAGAAATTTCATATTGTAAATGTATCAATATTCATTCTGTTGATTTAACTGTAAAAAGATCCGTCAAAACGAAAGTAATGTTAAACATATGAAAGTATAAAAATCGTTTCATATCTTCGCGTGTTGTTCAATTATTGCAAATAAAATTATCGATTTGAATACAAATTATGACATATATTCCGCGGTTAATTATGCGGTTTAAAAAAATCAACTGATTTCGTCAATCGTTGCTCGTGCATGCACTTGACGTGAAATAATCTATCGTGTCGTTTGATATTATCACAAAAAAAGATTTTTTTAAGAGAAAAAAATTTATTTATAATGTCAGTATATTTTAAAGTTTCTTTCAGGAACATTTAGTCTTCCTTCTTGATATTAGAACATAACCATGCGAACGTTATGCGTGCACCGTTTATTTCGTGCTCACGAAAAACTTTATCAATATGTGACATAGTTTAAGGTGCCTCCAGACAATATGGTCAACGTTCACCAACATTAGCAAATATCATACAAACATGATGTACATAATTATCTATACTAAATATAGGTTCATATTTAGCAAATGTATGCAAAAATTAGCGTATACATTGGTCATATATCATATAGTCTAGAGGAGTCTTTATTAATACAAACTTTTTATGTTATAAATATACACACATATATGTATATACATACATATAGACTATTATATATATATATATATATAATATTTTTAAAATTATTAAATAAATGTACTATGCATATAGCATACATGATAAGAGTAATCATCTGTTCTTTATCGATGAACTCTCTAAACTAGTACAACACACGGTACAAGTTGAAATGAAAATATACATGTTTGTTTCACTTCAACACTTTTGCATCGTGTGCAACAGTTTCGACAAAGAACAGACGGATATTTAGTATCTTTTAAAACAGTAAAGTAAAAATTAAGTATCTTAAAATTATTTATTAACTTCAGAGATTTCAATTTTTGGTTATACATAGAGACATTTGAATTAGTCAGATTTTTTATTAAGAAGATTCGAAGTCGTTATTATTATTCGTGTTTACCATTCAATGCTGGATCATAGTAATTAGACCAATTACTAGCTCTATTTTTTATTCTCTGATAAATAGCTTATGCTATACATGCATATATATACTTTTCTTATTTAAACTGAAATATGCTAAGTATGAAATATGTTAAGATAGATATGATTTCTTAAGAGTAATATAAAAGTATTTTATTAATGAACAAAAATTATTCAAACATAGCAAAATCACGAGTCGCGCTTAAATATGTGAGAAATTATTTTATTTTTTCATAAGCTTGAATGAGCATTCATAAGCATGAATTCATTAAATGATTAAGATTGTACCCGAAATAGAATCTTATTAATTCTATTCCATTGTCATAAATTTCTCAGTCTCATCTCTAATATTATTGACTAATTACAGTATATGATGTAATAAATACCTCCCATAAAGAACATGATTTCAATATCGGCGTTTGTCCTCGTTGACGTGGAGATATTTCATTTGTTAAATTCCACTCGTTGTCAGACATGACATAGTAGTTATCGAATTACATTTGTAAGAAGTTACTGTGTCTGTTAAATCAAAGATGGCAGTAATTCCGTTAATATCGTTTGCTAAAGTTGTGACAAAGTTCTCTCAGTTATAATTTTATCATTTATACAATTTTATGAATGAATTATTGATTAATTTATAAAATTGTAAAGTGTAATATAAGTAAGTGTAAAAGAATTTCTAGAAATATAAGTATTTAAACGAGTTTAAAAAATAAACAAATATTTAAATAAAAGTGTCAGTAATAGTAACTTAGAAATACTTCGTATACTAAAGTAAGTTATATGTTATTTATTTTTTATTTTACATTATATTATAGTATAAATCGTTGAAGGAAAAATTTAAATTTGTTTTAATTACTTTACTTAATTTAACCGTAGATCAAGTTTGGCATAAACATCTTCGCATAAAACATCATAATTTTTAAAAATTATACCATATTTAATAATCATTGTTTTAATAATACAGTTTTTAGACAGAATCATTTTGGAATATAAATATTGTTATGGTTATTTTATAGAACTATATTGCATACTTATGTACATTAAAATGTTAAAGGAAAGGAAATATTGTACATATAAGAAATTTTCTTAATTTTTTTCCGTTAGTGTAGTGCACGTCTTTCAATTAATTATATGATTCATATACAAAATCTTTGTGTTACTGTCAATACCTAGAGTCCTTATAAGAGAGTCGCGTCAATGTGAAGTAAAATGGCGTTTAACAGGAACTCTATTAGAGAAGGGTTCTAGACTCTCTATTATACGCATAGAACCATGGTGGAAGCTTTGATTAATAAAGTAATGAAATTATTTTAGATGTATTAAAATTATAAATAGATAAGCTTATATATTATTATAAAGGTTTCGAATTAAAAATATATTGTATAAAAGATACAGATATTATGTGATAGAAAAGCATTGAAAGTGACATTCTAACTTTGTCATCAATCATATAATTTTAATGTTTTCTTCGCAGAAAATATGATTAAAATATGATTAAAACATATTGTCAAAAAGGGCATTTAAATTCTCAGTATATAATAGTTTGACGATGGCAAGACATTTTATTGTAAAATAAAAGTATTATTGTTAAATAAAAGTGTTATTTCATTATTCTGTTTCGTATTATCACTATTTCAATTCTAAAAGTATAAAACTAGTTCAGCTGTAGAAAACAGATCTGTTTTTATCAATATTTTGTAATTTAACATAAGTTCTAGCTTCTTAACGTAAGTTGTCGATATTATATAATTTAACGTAAATTCTACTCTCACAATTTCTAAAATCTAAATCACCGCGTTCATGATAGTGGAGATATACTCAAAGTGGAGATATAATAGCATCGATGATTGGTTCATCATTTTGTTTCAAAGCCAATGAAAATTTTGACAAGATTAGACGCAACTCTCTTATAGGGACTCTATCAGTACCTATTAACTTTTTTTGTTTCTCCTACACATAAAGTATTCTAATAAAAATTATGTAACATTTTCATTCATAATCAAATAGAATAAAATAAGATAGATAGAATTATATTCTAAACAAAATAAAATTTATGAACTGTTTTTTTCAATTTTTTTGAAAAAACTACAAATATTATTTATATCTGCTTATTAATTATCACATAAAAAAGGAACAATAAAAATCGATAATTTTAATTTAAATAATCTCTTCAAGAATAAAAATTAATATATTATTACAAGTAAAAAGTCACATAATGTATTATTTATATATGTAAAACATTTTTATATATGTAAAACATTTTTTATATATATAAAACATATTTTACAATAAAAAAGGTAAAATGTAAAACGCGGTTAAGAGATATTAAAATCGCGCGCGCGCACACACACACACACACACACACACACACACACACACACACACACACACACACACAGTGCGCGCACGCGCGCATGATATGTACATATTTCTTTTGGCTAAATTTTTTATTTGTGTGTGTGTGTGTGTGTGTGTTGTAAAAACAACTGTTTTTGTCGTATTATACACAAATTGTTTTGTAATTATTATGCCAACTCTTGTAAATAGATAGAACAAATAAAACTAAATGGAAAAGTTCTTTAGCAATTTGCAAGTTTCTTTATCAAGTAATGAGAAATTAATTAATAGAAATTCATAAATCAGTGTCATATAATTTGATGAAAGAGCTTAGCGTTTTCGGTTGTTATGGCATGTGTGTAAAGCATTGAAAAAAGCGCTCTACAAACAATAACGGCTACATATGTAAAGTGAAAATAATACTATTTATAGAAGGTAAATAATATTTTCTATACTGTAAGATTATTCTCTGTTAGAAAACGTTGGAAACGCAAGGACTAAGGATTAAGTATCATGTATAACTGCTTGAGCGCTCCTTTCAATGCATTGTTGTAACCGAAAACGCTGAGCTGTCTCTTTTTGTTAAATTGCTAAACGTCAGCAAATTAATGTTTGCGAATATTTATTAACAATTTCTGATTAATTATTAAGAAACTCGTAAAATAATAAAAAATTTTTCATTAAGTTTAATTCGCTTTACTTGCCTACGAGAAGTAGCATAATAATTATACGTATGTGTAGAACAAGATTACCAATATCGATATATTACTTTCTCTTTGAACAATATTTCTTATACAAAAGCTAAAAATAAAATTTTAGAAACGTAAATACAAACTAGAAAGTATTTCCTATCAAATAATGTAGCAGTTTTTATAATATTTGCAATTTTGCAATAATTAACTTTTTCGCAAGATAAGCAAAAATTAACGTCTGACATAATGAGTTCTAAAATTAAATGCATAGTAGGCAATAATGCCAATATTCCAATTCTTTTTCTCTCAGGAGTCTGCACAAAATACCTACAAATAAATATATATAAAATTTTTTAGAATTTTTTGACTTTGATATAAAATATTTTTTGTTGATATATATGTATACTCTTTATACTGTTCTGCAAGATGCAAATATTTAACGTGCAGTTTATTTTCTTAAAGATTTTCTCATAAATGAACGATTGCCTTCAACTCTGATAAGGCAATTTGATATTATAAAGCAATATATAAAATAACTTATGATCTGTCTTACAGACAAATATGCTTATTTTTACGCTATAATCTGATTTTATATTTAAAATCGCATAATAAAAAAAATAAGAAAAAATATAAATATAATTGATTTAGGATTATAATATAATTGATTTAATTACAAACATATAAAATGATATAATATTATCAATAATATATCACTATTATTTTAACTACACAATTTGCAAAAAAAATATAAGAATTTTATTTTCGCATTTGTAGAATTCGTTTTTTAATTGATTTTAATATTTATTTTTCATATTAAAAAATAAATATTTCGGATTTCTAATATTTTTTTCATAGTAGTAGATGGTACAAAGTTTTTACTGATATAGTTTATTTACTATAAACATAGTAAATAATACTTAATAAATTAAGTTTTTGATAGGTGCAGTGTATATATTAATTATGATGGAATTACTATATATAAAATAAACTTTTTGAAATCCTTGCATTTTTGCCGTATATATCATAAGAGTGGGATATATGACTACTCATAGGGAGATTTAACATTCTTTTTTAAACATAAAGACGATGTTACACACGTTAAAGAGAATGTTAACAATTAATCGTTAGTCAAAAATTAAAAATGATAAAATTATATTCGCTTAAAAGAAAATAGTTATTGCGATATAGAATCCTTGTTACTTAAGACTTTGTAAGACTTCGTATGGAAAACACGGAATTTCCAGATTCATGTATTTCCTGACTTCAATCTTTGCAAGTCTGTTATAGAAATTTCTCGATGTAAATTTATAGTAATTATTGAATGGTTCCTGGTAGGCAAGAATTATTATGACAAAATGTTTTAGAAAAACTTTAGTATTTAATTTTTTTAAGAAAATAAAAATTATTTTGCAAGAAAAGTATTCTCTAATAACGTAAGGTACGATCTCCGCACGTTTAAGCTACAAAGACGTTCCTGAGCCAGAGCATCACGTGACCGCCTGATTGCCGTCGAGCGATAGTGGGGGTCACTTGATGAAATCGACTCAAATGTATAAATTCTTACGAGCACATCTTTGCTGGCTTAGATAATTAATCTTATACAAACTGTTCATATCATTTTTTCATATACAAATAATATAATAATTTAATATAATAATAGAATAATTTTACATTTCTTATTACAGGACGTTATATCACATAACTTGAGTTGACAAAAACTAAAAGAAAAAAGTTAAAAATATTTCTAAATCATACAAAATGATTGTCACTTTATTTCTATTCAGTGTTCTTTTTGTGATGTTGTATAAATTCTTTCATTTTGTAAAATTCGTGAGACAAATTAATAATATACCAAGTAAACCAGCATTGCCATTTATCGGCCACTTGCTAGATTTTTGGTGTTCACAAGGCAAGTAAAACTTATTGATTTTATTTTAATAATTAACATTTGATTTGTTTATAAGAAATGTCTATTAACAAAATTATTTATATTATACATAGCAGTTACTAACGGTTACTAATGTACTAATGGTTGGGTCATGGCGTTTGATTAAGAACAATATGCAACGAATATTAGAAACATTTATAGTTATTAATTCATTTTTATTTTTATGCAAGTATTTATTAATTTTAATTTTTAATTAATTTTTTGTTTCAAATGTATTTAAATATACCAAAAAATTAATATTGTAATTAGATAGGTATTGATAACTTAAAATACATTCTTTTTAAGATAAATTCTCTTAAAATCGTATAAATAAAGTAAACATTAAAAATTAATATAAATTTGATTAATATGCACGTAAAAAATGATTACTCACAATAATCTGAAATTTATTAATTTTTATCATTCGTTTTTTTAAATTGTATATTTTTTTATATTTTAGAAGATCTATGGAAGTTTCAACGTCGACTTTGTAAAAATTATTATCCAATTTATAAACTTTGGTGCGGTCCAATTGCTTTCGTCAGCATTCATCATCCAGATGATTTAGAGGTAAAAAAAGTATTAGGAAACAAATTAATAAATTCATATTACGTAATTCGTGTTGACAAAACTAAAAGGAAAAACAAAAGTTAAAAAGATTTTTAAATATAGATTTTTAATATAGATTTTAAATAGATTTTTACAGTATGATTATGACTTAATTTCTATCATTATATTAGGTGTTGGAATTAATTCGTAGCGTTTTACAAGTGATGGGAAGTACTTTCATTAATATATTTTTTAATGCTCATGTGAAATAAATAACATTCTTTCATTAAAAACGCTACGAATTAATTCCAACACCTAATAATATTACATAAGTCTCATTCAGTTTACAAAATTTGTGATAATATAATAGAGAAGATGGTATTACGGCCAAAATGTATATATTGAGGCCTTAATATCTCCGCTATTATATAGTGAATCCTAATGATTACTTATGTAATTATTTGTTCAGTCGTTATATCATGACGCTAATATATCAATATTCAACAGCCAGCACTTATTATAACGCATTTTTACTTTCAAGTATTTCGAAGCGTTTTTAAATTATATTTTAGCATTTAATTACACACATTATGTATTTTTAAATGTGTTATTTACTATTTAACATTTTATTTGTATATATATTTCGAGTTATGTAAATTTAAACAAGCATGGCATTTTGCTAATATGGCCTTCTATGAGTATTGATTATTCACGACCTCTGTTTTGAGGTTTTCATATCAAAATAATTATTTGATAATCGATTGTAACTCTACTGTTAATCTATAGTTTATATTATGTGTACTATTTTTAGTATTGAGATTTTTAGTACTGTGAGCAGTTTATATACAGAAGTTATATGAATGTATTAGGTGTTGGAATTAATTCGTAGCGTTTTTTAATGAAAGAATGTTATTTATTTCACATGAGCATTAAAAAATACATTAATGAAAGTACTTCCCATCACTTGTAAAACGCTACGAATTAATTCCAACACCTAATATATACATTAATTTGCATATATTTTAAAATATTTTACTTTTTTGTTAATTTTGTAACTAAATACATTTGTTTTTTAAACAAAACTAATATTTTAAGGCTATTTTTATGGAAGGCCACATTTTTTGAAATCACCCATTTTTTTCTTCAAATCATTATATAATGTCATCACATTTTTATTAATAATATCCTAAGTAATAAATATTTCATAACTTTGAGTTTAGAATTGATTTAACATTTTAATAAATGTAATTGTCAAATTTTAAACTTAAATATTGATTATTAACAAAGTTATGAAAATAACTGGTGCCACTTTTTTCTCTATAGATAACATTTCTTTTTAGAAAACATTTTAACATATTATAATCATTATGTAAAATGTAACTGGTGTCATCTTTTTCTCTACAGATAATCTTTTTTTTTTAGATAACATTTTATATTATAATCATTAAAATGTTGCAATGTGTCAAAATGTTATTTATATAAAAAAAATAATTAATAAAAAATTAACTGTGGCAGTAATGATACTTGATATATTATCAGTCTTACAAAATTTTGTAAAATAAAATGGTGTTGATGCGCTGCATATGTGGACGCGTATTTTTTCCTTTGCTTTACCTTAACATTTAGAATACTTCATGATGGTGGCGAACAAATAACGTCTTGTAACAGGATAAAATCAAATGTATTTCACGTATAAAAAAACTTGCGTCACAGTCTCGACGTAAACCAAGACTGACTATAATTAACTAACAAAACTGAAAGAGAGACGTACGCAGTTCTCCCACGAGAAACGCAGTCTAGCAAACACTAGCGAAATCTCCAAGGGGCAACGCGAACGCCAGTAGAAGCAACAGGGCATACGCTATACAAAAAGCAAGAAAAAATAAGCGCGGCGCGTTACAAACAGATTATTTTATTTCCATTTCTATGCTGATTTCCCAGACATAAATTCCCAACTGCGACAGACAATTGATCCCAATAAACGTTTGAATGATAGCATGTTTATGATAAAAAATAATATATTAAAACATAGCAAATAAAGATATCAATGCATAAACGTAATACAATATCATTTATCTTTGTTCACAAAATTTTTATGGCAAATCTACTAAAATTAGTAAAAGATTATAAGCAGAATTATTAAAAAGGTTGTTTTTTGGATAAGCGGTTTGACTTACTCGAAGCCTAAAAGTTAAAAATAAGTTTTATGCACATTAACAACGCTCGATAAAATTATTATTGCTTGTGATATAATTCGATAAAATTATTATCGAACTATATCTTAAGTAGCATTGCAGCGCGTGCGATTATATTATACGCTTTTTTAGTGCTTAAATTTGTTAAGTGTTTGTAAGCGTTGTATGCTACTTGTGTGCTACTTCAGTATTCATAAACAAGTTTGTGCACACACTACGTACATACCAATTTTTTTATTGTATTATTGATAAAAAATATTATAATTTAATTTGATTCTAATTTTAGAAAGTACTAGGCAGCGCAAAGGAACATCTTTCAAAAGGCTACTTATATGATGCTTTAATTCCCTGGTTAGGAACTGGATTACTTACTAGCGAAGGTATCATACAAAATTTTAATTGCAATATAAAAAGTTCCAAATAAAGTTTATATATAACTTTACATGTGTTCTTTATATAATTATTATTAATATATAACATAACACACACATACACACCACCAAAAATACAATACAACTATGTATTTAATGTTATTAATATGTATAAATGAATGCAAAATGTTGAAGTTAATAATAATATAAAAAGACAATATAAAAAGAAAATATGTATTAAAACAAAAATAAGAAATAAAAATTAAAAATACACAATATAACAGGATATTGAAGAGCCAACCGCAAAACTTATTGCGTAAAACAATTTATATACTTTATCAATAATCACATTGAATTGTTATTTAAACCTAATCTCGTAAACAAATAGCGAAATATTTCTAATTTACGAGATTAAATTTGAATACAACTCAATGTGATTATTAATAGAATGTAGGGTAAGGTTATCGCTGTTACCGATGTACCGATATACTATTTTATTTTTATGCACTATTTCTTTACTAAAAAAAAAAGATCAAGTATCGAGTATCGATTTTTATACGATTTTGTTGATCTCCAAGCGATCATCATTCGATTTATGCATCATATTATTACCTACCTATTTTGATGAATATTTCCAATCATTGTGAAAATTTTTATCTTGCAAATTTGATCCGTTTTAGCAAGAAGTATTATTATGATAAGCAATAATAAAAATGAAATGTTACGCAGTTTTATATATATATACAGAGTGTTTGGAAATAATCGCCAAATATTTCATGGGTAGAGAAGACTAAACTGAGTCGAAAAGTCCTCTACCATTTTGCAATAGAGTTAACAAGATATTAATTACTAAAAATTACTAAAAAAAAAAAGATAAAAATAAAACTTTAAGTATATAAACTAAAAAGTGTCTCTCCTATCAGATAATATAAGCAATTTTTGTAATACAGTTTGTAATTTTGCAATAATTAATTTTTTCGTAGATAAGTATACATGAGTGCTTGACAAAATGAGTTCTAAACTGATATAGTAGGCAGTAATGTATTCTTTTTCTTTTACAGAAATTATCTGTGTGAAATATAAGTGAATATATATAAGATTTTTCAGAATCTTTTCACTTCGATATAAAATATTTTCGTTGAATTATATGCGTATTTACTTTATGCTGTTCTGAAAGATGCAAATATGTAACGCAATAGTTTTTCAAGGGCTTTCCCATATATGTATTATTACTTCTCCGATAGAGTTATTTGACGTAGCAACTATGACTATAAAGCAACATTACAAATATTATAATAAATTAAATAGGTCATGATTTGTTTTACAGATAGGTGTGCCGGTTTACACGGTGTGCTGCACCCCGTGCAAATTTATATTATAATTCAAAATCGTATTATTAAAAACTTGAGAAAGAAAATAATATAAATAGAATTGATTTAGGAAATTACAAGCATTTAAAATGACGTACTATTATTAATAATATATAGTCACTATTATTTAAATTACGCAAATTGCAAAAAAAATCATAAGAATTTTATTTTCTCATTCGTTTTTAGCTAATTTTATATAGAAATAAGCCATAAATATATGAAATATGTGTTTGTACCTTTTTTTTACTTAACTAAACACATCATGTTATATTATTAGTATTAATAAAGTGCAATAATTAGTTTCTAAGAAATAAGGGGATTTTGTTTTAGGAGACCTATGTCGGCTTTCCTCTATAAATTGTTTTACGCAATAAGATCTGCGGTTGGCTCTTCTATACCCCGTCATTTTATGTATTTTTAATTTATATTATTTAGAGCTCTTTATTATCATTATTGTATTATTAAGAAATAAAAAATTATCATATAGTTGAATTAAATATCATTATTTTTAGATAAAGAAACATAAGCATACGTACAATTTTTAAAAATCTGTTATACAAAAAAAATTTAATTTGTTGTATTAAGGTGAATAAAACAAAATTGGACAAAGTATGCGAAGCAAATTTTGATGCTCCAAATTATCGTATTTAAGCTTGCTATTCCATTTTTGTTATAGGAATCAAATGGCACAAAAGGCGAAAAATATTAACACCTACGTTTCATTTTAACATATTGAAACAATTTGTTGAAATTCTAATTGATGAAGGAAATCGTATGGCGAAATTTTTAAAAGATACTAATGGTTCCGTTAATGATTTAATGTTTCTTATCAGTCATCATACAATGAATGCAATATGTGGTAAATTAATATATATATATATATATATATATATATATATATATATATATATATATATATATATATATATATATATATATATATATATATATATATATATATATATATATATATATATATACATACATATATGTATTATTATATATACTTATATATAGTTATAAAATAGAAATTTTATCTAGCATTCTATTAAGTAAACATCAATTTATATTTATAAATATTTTTATTAATTATAAGTTCATTCGGTTTTGTTGGCTTAAAATTCTATATATATTATTTTTATTAAAAATTAAATTTAAATTAAAAAAAAAGTTTTAAAGTTTGAAATCTCTACTTTAAAAGGTTATTGTATTTTTTAGTTTATTTGTGGTAATTTTCACATATAGAAAAATATGAGCTGGAAAAAAATGGAAAATTTTCTTTTTACTTTATGGACTTGTTACGTGTCCAAAAATTTGCAAAAATTTTCAACTATCTAACGCGAAAGCATAAAGTATTCAAAATTCGTTTTTAAAAAATATTCTTATGATATTTTGTCATCGAGTTACTAGAGAGTTATATAAAACAGCATTCTGACTTTGATTGCTCATAACGCTGTTAAAAATTAACGTACCATAATTAAAAAACGAAGTCTTAAAGCTAAAACTTTACTCGACCAAATCATATAATTGATTAAAATATATTTTGTGTTTAAAAAAAATTTGTTTCATTTCATCTTAAAAAACCTGAATAAACTTATTTGTCAAAATTAAAAAAGAGAATTAGAGTTATAAAATGTAATTGATAAAAATATATGTAATTTATAAAGCTATATAAATTCATTTCTTAAAAAAATATTTTTTTTATTTTATTCAAATATATATATATATATATAT